TAAAATATGAAAGACGTTCTGAAGAAGGAAGAATCCTTGCAAATTGTTGACCATGTTACATACATTGAAATTCAGTGTAGTCCATTTAAATATCCTTTGAATTCATAAGTCCGACTGAAAGAATGCGAAGATGTTTCCTCAAGGATATTTAGCACTGATCTTGCAAGTATTTACACACAGTAGTAATTGCACTGTCTCCTTTGCAACTGGTACATTGTTTCTGGTACTGTGTGTCAGCACGGGATGGTATCCTCATCCCATCAGGAGTTCTTGAAGTGGTGAGTACTCCTGTCCATGCGGTGTGGTTGCAGTCATGCTGTTACTCCGTCCCTTGTGACAGGGTGCAAGTTAATCAGCTCTTGGCAGTCAGCCTTCTCAAGACTCATTCTGAGAACATCTTTTTAGAGCTGTTTTAGGGAACAGACAAAATCTCATTATTCATCTTACTGAAAATTGCCCAGTGAACACAAACATCTGTCTCTCAGCTATACCATAAGAAGGCTATATGAAATTGAATGGCTTGAGTAGTGTTTTTCTGGAAGAAGCAGATCTTGAGGTACTGAGTGGTACTGAGTCTTTGACATTAGCACCCAACACCCTGCACAAGCTCTTAGCACAGGTTCTAGGAGACAAATTCTCAAATGCAAAATGATATGAGAAGTGATTTTGAAAGTCTTCAAAACCAGAAGACCTCTTTCCCAACTTTGAAAATTTTGAAATATAATTGAATAACTTTTTTTTTTTTTTTTAAATTAACTGTATGGCTGTCATTGAACTTCTTTTTGGTAGTCCATTTTTTAACGCAGACTGGTTTGTGAAGAATAGACACTGCGTTTACCCCAGAGAACAAGTCTGGAGTTTGCCAAGCCTTGATCTATTCTATATCTTTCCAATCAACTGTAGATGTCTGGAGAACAGTGTAGGTCTAAAGCCATACAGTGGTGATATTTTTCTGGTATATTGCTTTAGTTGACAGTGACCACTGATTCAGGGATTCTGAAGGAAGGTATCTACTGTATTAGTATATAATAGCACTTAAAAGCACTTTTTCTTCCAAGAAACTATTTACTCATTTTTGAGCCCATGTAGATAATGTTTCATAAACATGACTATAGTTATCATTCATATATTTCAGTTAAATAAGAGAAACAAAATAATATCCCATGCTGCTTTGTGTTTCTGGCACAGTCTGGATCATTACGTTGATATCTCTTGGTTTAAGAGTTATTTTTGCTCCTTCATTTGGCACCTTGATTCTTCATTTTTTTTTTTGCTCATTTGACAAACAGAAAGGCATTTTAGTGAAAGCTTTTCTAGAACTCCAGAATTTATAAGACGTCTTATCTACTGCTTTGTGTCATCTCGAAGCTTGCTGCATGGGATGATGACTTTGTCAGGAAGCTGCTGTCTTCTTGCTTTAAAAGTTAAACTTCCTTCTTCCTTGATCCCTTTTTCCAATTTGATTCACTTTCCGTGGACACAAATAATGTTGCTTCTGTTGATCTCAGCGTGAACTAGGTCATATCACTGCTTAGGAAGACCTATTTCTGTGCTAGCAGATAGCTGCTGTGAAGCAATGAGTGATGACGTACTCACTGCTGCTATTAATGTATACAGTAAGACTCATGAATGGAAGCAGAAAGTTTTTGTTCTCCTATAAAAAAAGTAATCTTTTTCTAATGAAGGAGAGACTAGTACTTGAAAGAGACTACGGAGGAAAAAAGCTGACATCATCTGTCGTATTTAGCATAATTTGGAAGCATCTTAATGGCCATCTAGTGTATTTCTAGTGAGTTGTGGGCACAGGGGTGTTTTGGAGACTTGCAGTTTTGGAGGCTTTGGGTGGAGAAGATAAGTAGAAGAAGGGGGTGTCTGAAGGGATCATGAGGACAATTGAGATGTCTTGGTACTGGTCCCAAGAGAACTCCAGGAGCCTACCTGTAAGATGTAGTAAAGCCATAATTCGCTCCAAAGATGAAGTGGAAGTAATGGGAAAAGATGGGATGTTGCTGTTACTTGTAGTGGAGCCAAGTGTCTGGGGCTGCAGGGTGGGCATATATCTGTAATTTCAATATTTTGACTATGCCAGAGAGAGGTCAAAGATTTAAATCTGAACGTGAAAGCCTGCACGCCCCAATTTGTGCTTAACATTCACCAGCCTACACATAATGATGATGAAATTATCATCTATTTACCTTCAGGGAAAGCTTTTAAAATTTTATTAATCTAAACAGCCGTTTCTTCATTAAGTCACTTCAACTGCAGAAGCAGTTATCTTCTATATGTTATATACGGGTATAATAGTAACCACAGTTACTGAAGTTTACCACACAAAGAGAGGCACGTGCTAAGTGTTTGTGCATCTGGTCTATAATAGGTACCTATATGTAGTTAATATTTAATCTCCTTCTCAATATGCTTCTATGTTTTTAGGCTTGTGAGCAAGGCTTTCTAAAGCCTGCTGAGCCTTGCAATGCACCAAATCTTTTTTAGGGGTGTGTGTGAGTGGGAGGGTGAGGGAATTGTGTATTACTGAGCAATAAGCTGAAGATGGCAGCATTGGGTGAGCTATCTCATTTTCTTAGCTAAGTAGTTCTCTCTTAAAATACAGTAATTGTAGCTGTTGTGTATGGCAAACTTATTAAAAAATAAGCTTTTCATTTAAAGGGCTTTTTAAAATACTACAGCTTAATACCACAAGTTAGTGCAAGGTAGGTGTTTTATCATCAGTCCTCCCAAGTGAGGACAAAGTTATAGCCACTCTGACAGATCTGTAATAGACAAACACCAGACTCCCCCTTTTTAGCTGTTGTTTGCTTTCAGACTGAAAATGACTGTGATCACTGTGCTTTATGAGCATCCCAGTCCTGCTGTATATCTGTCATGATGTTTGTGCTCACCACACTGGTTCTTTTAAGAGAGCTGAGGGGGCTAATTCAAACATGCTCGTGGGGTTTAAGTGTGAAGCTGAACAGTTCATTGCTGACAGTGACAGCATGTACAGAACCAGGTCTGCAGCCCCCCGAAAGTTTTTTTGGCAAAAACTCAGTTAATATTTTTCAAGGTGGCAGTTTCACTCAGTGATGCCTATGTCGTTTTGTGTATCTGGTTGTTTGTTCCTCAGATGTCTTTTTTGAAAACCATTTGTTTTGGCATCAGCTAATTGTACTTAGTGAACAATTAGATGCCAGCATGGCTTATGCAAGTCAATAGCAAAGTCAGAAGTGGAACTTTGGTTTCTTGTTTGACAGTGTTGTGCTTTCAACTCCTCTTGTGAATGAATATCTGTGCTTTGACTGCTGTACTGGAACCTAACCTAAGGCATCTTAAGTCACTACAACCTTTCCTTCTTCATAGATGACTTTGCAGGTTTAGATCAGACACAGGGCTCATGTTTTTATTCTTTTTTATCATATTTTTCTCCACAGTGCTATGCTGGCTCTACAGGAACTTTTATAAGAGGCAGAGAAATGAATCATATCGCAATTTCTAAGCATTTATTGAATTTAAAAGAGCTGCTAATTACTGCTCTTTTGCATTTAGGATGGAGAGAGTCTAGAGGAGAGAGGTTTGTAAGAAAAGTAGGAAGTGGCAAAAAAACAAAAATCATCTGCTTAGGATTTGTCTTTAAGATATGCAGAAAATGTTAAGATTTAGTATCAAATGCTGAGTTAAAGCCCATCCTAAAAAGAAATATAAGCTTCGCCTGTTACATAGTTAATTGAAACTGCAGAGTAAATTCATATTTCATGCAAAACTGTGTAAAGCTCTTGGTTTCAGTGGAGCTGTATTCTATGCACAGATACTGAAATTGTCAGATAATGTAATAAATGTTTTCACATGTGCACACAAATGGTATGTATGTGTATATATCTGCATGCAGAATTTTTGTAGAAGTTGATTTACAGTTTCCTAAAACCCTTATATGTAGGAATAATTACTAACAATCTCATCTGTTTGATCTGGCATCAAAAACAATCTTGCTGCATTATAATAACGCCAAACGAAAGCTCAGTACCATAGGAGCAGATGTGATTGTTGTCTTCTGGTCTTATTGGATACTGAACTATCTGTACTTCTTACAGTCTGCCTAACGTTTCACTTTGAATACAGCAAATTAGATGCATTACTGTTAATGTTGATTTAACTAATGTCTTTCACAGTTCTCACCAGCTCAGATATGTCAGCTGCCTACTGGTGACACAGGTTGAAAGTAGACCTAGAGAACAGTTGTAATGGATGAGCCAACTAAATTTGCTGTACTGTACTTATTACTTATTATGTATTTGCTGTACTTACTTATTACTGACTGTAATTTTCTTTCTGTCATTGAAGATGCCAAGTGGCATATTAGTTCTTCATTTATAATGAAGTAGAATTTAGTGAGAAATATGACATAGTCTCAAGAAGTTCATTCTAACACAGGACAGCACTTAGATACGTGCCAATCTTGAGTGCTCTGAACTAGATTTTGGAGATCTTCAGAGGTTCTTAGACAGGCAGACCAAATACCTTGGAGGATTTTCTTTTAAAGTGGTTCTCTTATTTCTGAAAGTGTCCGCACAATTGTCTCTGCCTTTCATAGCTAAATCATCATAGGACCATGGAATCATAGAATGGCTTGGGTTGGAAGGGACCTCAAAGATCATGAAGCTCCAACCCCCTTGCTGCAGGCAGGCCCACCAACCTCCATAGCTAATAGTAGACCGGGCTGCCCAGGGCCCCATCCAACCTGGCTGCTCTTACCTGTCTATTCCTAACTGGCCATTCCTGTGAACTGTCTGAGTGCCCAGAAAAAAAACAATCAGATTTTTGCCTAAAGCTCTGTTACTGCAGAAAATGACATTTAAATTACTGTATCTGATTTTATATTAAAGACATGAAATTCTGAAAAAGTGGGGCAATTAAGTGAATATGGCGCCAATTGTCATGGCTGAAATGCTTTTTTTTTTTTTTTTTAATCCACACTGTATATATCTGTATATCTGTGTATTTTGCAGTGCTATTTTTTTACGATTGAATTTGGTCTTTGCAAGCAAGAAGGACAGCTGCGTGCTTATGGGGCAGGACTTCTGTCTTCTATTGGAGAACTAAAGGTACGTTGATTGATATGCTCTTAAAGCAGAATCAAGTTTCTTTTAATCATAATACAATTATAATTGGATGCAAATATTTTGATTTGAAAATAACAGTTAAACTTATCAAGATGAAAAGCTTCCTTTTAAATGTGATACTGAGCTGAAAAATTCATTTGACATACTAGCTGGCACCTGAAGCATGAAATGGATTCGTAAGGACTGAAGTACCAAAGTAACAGTAAGCTACAAAACTTATTTCTGTTTGAAATTTAAGAAATAACTAGCCTGTGAGACTCTTGAATTGTGGGTAAATGGAGGCTCAGTTAAGGTATACTGGGTTCTGAAAACTTTACTTAGAAGAGAAGCATATGTTTTTTTGTAGGTGAAAAAACTGTTTTGAAATGAGACACAGTTCTTTTAAAACTAATGCAAAATATTTCAGTGGATTTGTTATTGATATTAAAAGAACATTTATTAAGGTCTTGATTCAGTAGATTATTTGTTTTTATAATTAAGGAATGCATGTAAGCTCATACTAGACTTGTAGTATATGCCTGTGTTGCAATACACAGAGACTTATAAAGACAAAAGTCTTTGACCTTTCATGGTGAGTAACTGCAGTAGATCAGTTACTACCTATTTTTAGACATAGAGAACAAGCAAAAGGTATTTTGTCATAAGTTTAATATTTTGAGATGTAATACACCTCACTTTTAGTACATAGGAAGGGAAGAGGAGGAAGAGGAGGGAATGCCATGTTTATTCTGGGACCCAGGTGAACTTTTGATGGCTTTTGTTTAAAAAATTGGTTTCAAAAAGCGTATGAAGAATAGTGTTTACACACTGTTTTGCAATATATCTCCTGTTTATTTGCATTTGAGCATCTTTCCACCCATTTTCGGTGAAGTACCTGACATTTTAATAGAAGTATCTCAGTCTCTTTTTGCTGTTTTGCCTGTAATTGAGAATATTAATGCTGGAGCTCAGTAGTTAGATTACTATTCTTTTATTAATAAGCCTGTATAAGGGGATTAAAGAAAGACATAGAAAAAAGGTCAAAGAAAATTATTTTCTCCAGTACATATATATTTTTAATTTGATTTCATTATAGTTGTTCTCAGTTCAGTGCCTACTTCAGCCACAGGAGCATTCAGTATCAGTATGGAACTGTTGTACACAGTGCAAAAGATGATTAAACACAAAGATGAAAATATCCCACTTGTTTTTTTCCCTGCCCAACAACATTCAGTGTAATCTCCAAAGTGCGCAGGTTTCTGCAGAGAATCAGGGTTTTTAGTTAAACTAACAGTTACAGCCTTTAAGTGATGACCCTGAAAATACCTGTCACATCATTTACAAAATCTGAAGGCATAAAAGCAGAGAAATAAATAGTGAAGAGCATAATAAATCTTGTACCATCAATGTCAAAAACAAACACATTATTCTTATGGAGTGTACATATTCTGTTACCACACAGCAATCTTAACTGTGATCCCAGTTCTCTGTTCCTCACTCAGCAATAATCTCAGAGTGTAAATGCAAAGAATAATCCTTTTGAAAAGCAACAGCAAAAATTAAATAAGGCGTACGTTAATGGAGTGTACTGATTGGCTTTAAAGGTTAGGCTATATATCATAATAATTTTGCCATATATCAAAAATACTATACAATTTTCCATTACATTACATTTATATTTCATAGATCTTAAGCCAGAAGGGACTATTAGATCATCTGGTTTGACCTCTTGTGTATCATAAGCTGTTAAGTTTTATCCATATCTTGAACGCACTGCACACAGTTAGACTGAAACATTTCAGTTATTGAGAGACTGAGCACTTGTGTGCTGCAGGCACAGAACACCACTGTACCACAGATGCCCACAGAGTCCATAAAGGGACTGATAAGGTGAAAAACATCCAATTTTTGTGAAACTGTGCTCTAAAGCAGAAGTGAAAGTAAGAGGGGAAGGGAAAAAACAAGGCAAAACAAGTTTTCTGCTAATCTGACAAAGGGAGGAGTTCTTTCTAGAACAGAAACCTGGTACTGAATATGCTTCTTGTCAATGAGATATATCAGCCAGGCCCTTAGGAAAAAGAATTTCTGGGCACCTCACAGCTCTGTTGCAGAGCCTCGCATCAAGCCATTACTGGTCTCTGACTTTTGACCAGAAAGCAACTTCCCGTACCTCTGCCCTTATCTCCAAGCACCCACTGGGAGGAAAAATTTCTTCCTTGATCTGAAGATCGTAGAATGGTTTAGGTTGGAAGGGACATTATAGCCCACCCAGCTCCAACACTCTGCTGTGGGCTGGTTGCCACCCAGCAGCTCAGGTTGTCCACGGCTCTGTCTAACCTGGCCTTGAATGCCTCCAGGGATGGGGCACCACAGCTTCTCTGGGCAGCCTGTGTCAGTGCCTCATTGCCCTCTGAGTAATGATGGATCTGGAAAATAACGCTGATGTAACAGTCTGTGGTTGAGATCCTAGTTACAGCTGAAATGCTAATGGATGTCAGCAATTGCTCTGAAAATAATGTGAACAATACAGGTTGTTTCTATGCTGGATGGGAACGAATCCTTTGGAGTTTGCTTGGCCACAAGGCCAGACCCCCATACTTTTCACAGAATCACAGAATCACCCGGGTTGGAAGGGACCTCAAGGATCATGTAGTTCCAACCCCCCTGCCTAGCAGGGCCATTTTCATTGAAGTCAGAGTGAAGAAGACCTTTTAGAAATAACTTCTGCCATTCTTCAGACAACAGTGCTTGTGGACCCAAAGTCCCCTCTGTGAAGAAGCTAAAATGTTTATTTATCCTTGTCACTTGAATGTATATCTTGCTGTGGAGTTGAATTTTGCTCCCTTGACTTTACGGGTACTTGATATTAATATGCTTCTGTCAGCAAGAAGAAAAACCCCTCTCTAGATGCCCTCCCTATAGTTATTTTTTCAATACTGCAGTATTTTGCAGGAAACAAATTGATAGGCAGCTTTACAAATGGTATCTAGTAATTTCTATCGCCAATCATATTTGGGACTTTCAGATGAGTGAAATATTTGTTCAGTCATCCCGACTTCTATGTTACACTGTTCCACTCTGCAATCTGGTCAATAGCTTTAGGAAAAAAGAACTAAAAGCTAGAGAAATCCTGTCAATATAGGATTTCCTTCATTTTTTTTTTCCCCTACTCAGTACTTAGACTTCAAATTTCAGGTATTGGAAAATGCATCTCATGATGAAGTGCATGCTGAAGAAGCATCAAGCAGAAATTTTGAAAAGCACAACAAAATAAGGTGAAAGAAAAGATTAAAAATGAAGCCTAGGTGGGGAGGAATAATCAGTAAGTAGTTACAAATACTCTGCCTAATAGTCAAGTTAACACTCCCTAGTGCTTTTATACACTATATGCTTGGGACTTAAAGATAAGGCAGAAATAACATACATCTCATTTATTGAAGCTATTTCTAAAAGGCAGTCAAAATGTCTTTGGAAATTTTAATCCATTTACATTATATGATGGTCTCGTGAACTCTTTGATTAAAAGAATGATCCTATCAACTTCAGTTGGCTGTACATCAAGTCATATATCCCTATTGTATGCTTCTGTATTTACCAGAGAGATGGCCTTCAAATCTTTCTGTACAGATTTTTAAGTCAAATACAATATCCAGTAATGTTTTCTTTTAATGATAGCTTATGTTAAGAGAAGGCTTTTATAACCAGAGCTTTTATAACCAGAGAAATTCAAGTACAAGGTTTGGTTCTGTTTACTGAAGAGGACTAAGAGGATGGAGATTTCCATCCCAGATGGCCATTACAGTGTTTTTTAAAAATAAAGTCTCTCTTCCTAATTTGTCTAAACGTTATATAAAATTATACTGATAACAACAACAAAAACCTCTGATGAAATCATATCATAAATCTGGAAATGTCCTATGCTGAAAAGCACAAGCAGAATAATGCAGAATAGTATTTAGAAACAGGTTTTCCAAAATTATATTCTCTCACAGAATAACAAGGTGATAAAATCAGTACTGGCACACAGACAACTTCTCACCAGTATTCTTGTTCTGCCCTCTTGTAATCCTCAAACAGTGCAGTATTTATAACTCAACTCAACCTTACCCCTCACTAGTTTAAGCTTTTTTCTTTTCTCCTCTTTTTCCTTTTATTTCTTTTTCACCAAAAAAAAAAAAAAAAAAAAAAAAAAGAAAGAAAATCTCCAAGTTTTTAATAGTCCATTTTTAATACTTAAAGGAGAAAGCACAGACAGAACTCATTTACCACATGTCAGTGATGGTTACTCCATGAAAACACCTGGTGCTATCTAAGATGCCCCAGTATATTTAACTAGCTCTCCACCTGAGGTACTATGTAATAGTTTCCATTCCTGTACAGATACCTCAAACATTCTAGACCCTAGAGGCCTGTGGTTATGTACCTGAATTTTTCTTTTTTTTTTTTTTTTTTTTGTCTTTCGTCCAGTGGGGCTAGGGGATTTTCTATAGTGCTATGCTTATTCCCTAGAAAAGTAGTTGTCTAATTCTGGAGGTGTTCCATTGTTTAATATCGCTGTGTTTCTTGGAAAATAGTTGCAGTCTGTTTGCAAGTTTCACTCCAAACTCCTATTGCTTAAGCCTAAGGAGAATCACCAACAACTGTATTAGTGTAAGCATTGCTACTTGTGTGAGTGTGCCTTTAGAGAGTGTTGTCACGAATCTACAAGGTGGTGAGATGCTTTCTGACTGAAAGCTATTTCCCATCTCATCATTATCTGTGACCTCCATGGAAATAAATAAAGTAAGAGATTTCTGAGGATAAATCCATAGTAGCTACTCAGATGTTTAAATTCACTGAAGAACTGAATGTCCAAACAAAATAGAGGTGAACAGCATTGTTAAAAAGCTACAGGTTTGAGCTTAAAAGTTTTCAAATTCAAGCTTAAGTGTTGATATTCTGTACTTCACAATGTTGACAGTGCCAAGGACCAATGTTTCGGAGCACTGTAATGTTTTTGAAAAAACAAAAAAAGCCTAGTTCAGCTTTGGAGTCAGCATTGTCCTGACCATCCTGGTTCAAGCTAGACATTTTATGATCTGCTTGATGGTTTGTGTGCAGCCTCTGCTCAGTTACCGAATGCTGGCATTGCTGGTGTCAGCACATCAAGTCAATAGTAGACTTTCCAGACACCAGGCTGCAGAGTTTCAAAGCACTGTCCAGAATATTGGAGGCATTTCCCGTTGCTCTGGTCATCATGACAGTAAGTACCTGATCCAAGAGCAAGAAAGCCATATCTTAGAAGAGATGTCAGTTGGGAGTTCAGCAGAATCTAGACACTTCATTCACAAACAGCTATGAAGAATAATTAATCAGATGTCAGCTAACTTAGAAGGCATGTCTGAATTTACTCTCTTTCCCAGTTGCATGATTCCTGGTGTCTGCACATCCCAGTTTCTTTATGAAGCAGCTTCTCTGTTCATGTACACACTAAGCTAGGATCTACAAAGTAGGAGTTATTTCATATTGATGATCTGAGGAGAACAACCTCAGGTTATTTTTTCTCAGAAGACATGCACTCTGATAAAGAATTAGCATTTACTTCCATTTAAACTCTCCTCCTTTATATAATTAGGAGTTCAGTGTCTAGAGCAGCTGTCAGTGATGTTGCTGAATCTTTTCTCACCTTTGACAGCTTTGATCCTCTGTTTCTGTCCAAGGAGTGTATATGCCTCAGCAGATATCATTAGTGAGGAGAAGATAGTCATAGAATCATAGAATAGCTCAGGTTGGAAAGGACCTTTAAGACCATCAAGTCCAACCACAACCTAACCAGAACACTGTCACCCTTTTTGTTGAAGCCGTCATGGTACAGGAAAGAACCCGTGTACCAGAAGTGGTCACCTACTAGTTCAGTTCCTAAGAAAGCTTGGCCAGTAGCACTCTTAATTTTTTGCACAGGGCTTTGCTCAACCCATTCAGAGTTTTAAAACTTTGTCCTTTACATATTTGAGGCATCAGGTCGCACCTGAAGGTAAAGAGGCACCTTGAAAGGAGATATTGTTGTCTAGGTTGAACTCAGGAAGGCCATTATAATTCCCAGTAAAGACAAATTCCATTCAGTGGAAGGAGGTAGATGCTTAAACTTACAGGCACTCAACCACAGCATGGCTCTGCCTGAAGACAGAGACAGTAGGGATTTAAACAGGCTAATAAGGTGAGGCTGTTCCTGCAATCCGTTTAGAAGAAGGTTCTGGTCAAGATAGTCCATTTTAGATTTTTGTTTTCATACCTGTGTAACCGATGACTGACTAGAAACAGCAAACTTTGTGAGAAGGAAATGATGCATGTTCTAAAGAAAGTGAATTCCAGCCATTTTAAGATACCGTGCATTAATTTTTCATGTATTTATTTTTGGAGAGAGAGAAGGTAGGAGGAAGAGGTTCTTGTTCCAATTTTATGTCCTGTTATTTGGCAACAGCAGGTTGAACTAAGGAGGAGAACTAAGTACTGTGATATTTTCAGAGCCTTTCACAGGGATATAGGAATGTGCATAAGCAAGAACTCAAGTAAACAGTATGGTTAATACCTTATTCTGCTGTAAGGAATGTCTATGCAGAAATATAATAAAGAAATAAGAGACTCCTTCATGCTTCAGGGATCTGCTCCCTCCATGTCATTTCTCAGTGCTTTTCGTGTGTGTTTTCCCTGTGGATAGATACTAGGGGACTAATGAAAGTTGACCTACATGTGCTTTTCTTACTCAGAAACATTGTGTTTCTGTACAGGGTACTGACGATGAAGATACATGTGCTCTAAGAGTTAAAGTAGGCCCAAAAACTAACCACAAATATCCAAGGGGAAAGAAGAGGTAGAAATATTTTTTTTTTGTGTGAAATGTCTCAGTACCAGATTTTCAGTTTTGAAACCTCTGTTTTTGAAATCTTTCCAGTGACTTTTGCCAGTAGGGTAAAGAGAGAGGCTAATGGCTAATCTGTAACCTCTTCTTTGAGCAGCATAATTTGATGTCTCATCTGTCTGATGTCTGCTCTGTACCTATCTCTGCTTGTGTTTTTGGCTCTTTTTCCCTTACAGTACTAAAATGCTGATTGTAACTCATGTATGTAGCGGAAGGGCAATGCATCAGCACACAGTACACAAGTAGTATTTAATGGATTTTTGGGTCTATAGTTTCACTCTTAAGCTCACTGTCAGGAAAGTAATATATGAATTTGCTCTGAAAATGTAATGCAGAAATTATGTGAGTGATTTGGTCAGACTCAGTTCACCTACCAAGTTGATGATCAGTTCTGCCTGTTAATTGACATTTGTGGACATGCATGTTTATAGCTGTAGATAATTTTCCAGCAGTGTTTTTTTTTATGACTTTCTCATTTCCATCTGAAGATTTGTGCCTGCAGAGCAGATAGATTTCTAATCTGCTCTTTAGTATTTTATTAGTTGGGTGAAAAAATGACTCATAAAAAGAGTATTTTCTAAGTAACAAATTATTTTTTCTGTTCACACTGTGAGATTGCTCTATGTAAAACAAGAGAGGCTACCAAATGACTGAAAAAATACAGCACAGTGATACAAAAGTTGAATATGGAAACTGTTTTATAGATACAAAGCAGTATCAAAATACTGTTTAACAGAGCCAGTGGTTTATTTTGCAGCACGCTCTTTCTGACAAGGCCAAGGTGAAAACATTCGATCCGAAGACAACCTGTTTGCAAGAATGCCTGATCACCACTTTTCAGGAAGCTTACTTTGTTTCAGAAAGTTTTGAAGAAGCCAAAGAAAAGATGAGGTAAACTATTTCCCTTGACTGTAAAATCTAATTTCTCTTTTTCAGTGGTAGACAAAAAAGAGGTGTTAATTTTCTTTTTTCTTTCAGGGACTTTGCTAAATCGATCAATCGTCCCTTCTCTGTGTATTTCAATCCATATACACAAAGCATTGAGATTCTGAAGGATACCAGGAGTATAGAAAATGTCGTCCAGGACCTCCGCAGTGATCTAAACACTGTATGTGATGCATTAAGCAAAATGAACAGATATTTAGGGATTTGATATATGTCCCACTGTGATTTGTTGTCAGCTGCTTATTCTGTAGCTGTTCTAGTGACATCACATGACATAGCTAACTTTTAAAACTCATCAATTTGCTCTTCTGAGCTTGGCCTGTGGCTTGTGTCATTGTGTAGCTTTGTCTAATTGTTAAGTGCAGACAAAACAAGGCAATGCTAATTCGTAAATTCTCTATGGAGTGTGGCAGCATATAACCAGCAATTCCTCAACACAATGTTGTGTACAAGTATACCAGTAAAAGCTTGCCTAGCAATGAGTTTGTTTCTTTAAGATTGGTGTTAAGAATGGTGTTCCTGATTTCTTTAAGTCTGACATATATTTATTATATGTAATCCCTTTCCAACTGTCAGAATCCAGAAAAAAAGTATTTGCAACATTGTCCATTTTCCTTGTAAGAGAATCTGTATTTGGTGGTGATGACAGTGTTTTGCCCATATATTTGTAACAGAACTGAGTGTCTCTTGTGACTGAACAATACAGTTTACGTGTATACCAATGCAGAGATCAGGAAGACTACGTATCGGTACTGTAAGGTCTGTGAGGATTATGAAGAAACACTACTGACAAATGTTCAATGTGGCTAAGTAATTGCAAAACAACAGGAGTAATAATAATAAAACCTCTGACGATTCATGCATAGAGGTAGTGATAGTTCCATACACGTATTGTCTGTGACAATCCTGATCATACTTCCACTGCAGGAAGTATGTTGTTTATCTGGAAACAAGAGTGGAAGCACCTTTGTTAATTCCAGGTTGTTAGATGTGAATATAAAGCCATTCTACATCACTCTGTGCCTTCTGCATTCCCTCATTCTTTGAACATAGTCCCTTGCATTTCATGCATAATTTGCCTTTCCTTCTTATGCCACATTCAACCTTGACATGGTGTGCATGAGTGAGTCTACATCGTATCAGTATCAGTAGATATGAAAAGGTGAATATGGAAGTTGTTATTTAATTATAGCCAGGACAATTATCAGTTAGTAGATTACTTGTGGGGTGCTTAAATCATACCGACACCTAAGCTGCCTACCTTGTACCAGATGGATGCAGGTAATGCCTGACTTAATGAACTCTGTGTTAGCAAGTTCTGACAGAAGTACAAGCTCTGTCTGGGGAGCAGTGAGGAAATATTTGAGCCGGCTCTTATCTGGAAGCAATAATTATGCATGTCTTTCCTTTATCTGAGTTATTCTGTTCTCCTATTAGCCAGAATAATGGAGAGTTGACCATATTGTGTGGACCTCTAGTAATGGAAACTGCGTGGATCTTATGCAGATCATGTCAGTACAGGTGAAAGTTCATGGCTTGTCTACTTACGTGGAAAATAGATATCTATTGAACCTGCTCTCTCAGCTGAGAGACTCATGCAGATACTCTTTAAGTGTCGCTAGCAATTTCAGCTTGAAGAGAGCACCACTTGATAGTATCAGCACATCCTTAAATAAGAGGCAATCTATAATTTTCATAGGGAAATCTGCCACCTCCTCAAAGATAACTACAAGATAACAGAAAGTGCTCTATTCTCTGGATGGTCCCTGCTGCATTCTAATGCTGCTGTTAATAGGGTGTGGAAAAATCTAGTTTTAGATTTAACCGTGAGTGCCACTGGTATAAATGAAGAGCTGTTGAATTATCCCATGGGGTCAGCATGCTGGAGGAGTTTTTTAACTTCCTGACATTAGTGCTGACTTCATTAACTAGCACTTATCGTAGAGGAGTCACCAGCACGCTTGGCATAGAAGTTTCTTCTTCTTTCTTTGGATGGAATCTGATGAACCCCTTGCAGCCCTTTTTGGAGAAAATGGACTGAACTGATATTTACTTTAAATGATCTGGAAAATCATTGCACAAGGAATAGTAGTTCTTAGTTCAAGACCTGACAAAGTATTGTTGCTTGCTTAAGTGAAATAAAGGCACAATGAGCTAAGAGATAAAGAGTTTGCAAAATTATTGAGTTTTTCCTTTGAATCAAAATTATACAGGAAAGTGTTAAATACTTACAGTATCTGGATTTATTCTTGACTTGTCTGAACTGCCTAAAATAAGGATTGCACAGAAGTAAAACAACAGAAGCATATCTTTGTTTTGTTTTGTACTGTTAACAAGTAAATCTTATTATGGATTAGGGAGAAACCCTTGAAATCCAATAGTCATTTTAGGACTAATGATGGCACGGAAACTGTCTGCAATGAAGATATAATGTCAATGAAACAGAACATTGTCAAAGGATAATGGGCTCCTGCTGCTAGATATATGCTTAATCCAATGATTTTATTTCTATTATACAACGTGATTAAAAATAAATTAAATATAATGAGCTGAGGAATAATAGTGATTTAGAGAGACAATTGCTCATTGTTCTTACATGGGAAAGCTGTGTTCTTACAGGCTACAGGGCAAACTTGCTTTGGGCTTCAGCCAGTCAGCAGTCGTGAATTGGAAAGAAGGCTTTAAAAAGTGCACTATTGCACTTTTATGAATCAAATAGTTCCAGCTTAGCTGACATCCTTCTCTGCAGTTTTTATTAGCAAATTAAGATCAGCCATGCAGCAATCTCCTTGGATGACAAGCTCATTTAGGCATAATGAGGGAATTATTGACAGTTATCAAATTACACTAACGTTTCATTTAAAATAGACCATATTTATCTAAGGTGCTTGTTTAACTTTAGTGAGCTGGACTCTGGAAATTGGACTTCTTAGGCTCATTTATTTCCTGTGTAATTCTGAACTAATGCTTTATGGGTCCAAGATATATGTTCTTGCTTTGCCTGCATAGAGTAAATGGGCCTGAGCTTAATGAATGTAAAGCATTGCAGTGTTTACTACCATGCAAAGTCTAAAATGAAAAACAGCACTCTGAGACATTGCAGCAAATACAAATACCAAGTTTCATTTGCAAGCCAAGACATGGTTCATGCGTTTCATTTCATTTATTTGGTGGAGGGAATGGAGTGGGAAAGGTGTTAACACAATATATTGCATTTTCTGTTGTGTTTTTCTCTCTATACTTCAAGATCTGTTTAGAAGCCTGCTCTAAGTTTAGGCCTTCAGTACACTTTCATGACATAGAATGTCCTCATTTCTTCTTGTAATGATTTCCTAAAGTCATAGAGAAAACTCCAGAAACATACTGTACTGAAATGTGTATTTAATGTCACTCTGTAATGGATTACAGAAGATTTCACATCTTTGAGAGAACAGCCTGACTCTGTGAGCCAAAGCTGGTGAAGGCTTTCACCTACAGGCTACTGGTACAAATTCAGCCCAGTCAGCAGCTTCTGAGAGCTATCACCACCAGCAGCAGCCTGGTGTCTGTGTGATGAGCTTGGAAGCTAAGATAGTTTCGTTTTGAGTAGAGGAGACCGAGGGGAGACATGATCACCTTTTTCAAACGCATAGGAATAGCCGCAAAAATAAAAGGGAAGAACTTCTCTAGCCTGTAGAACTAATGGGCTTAAATTGCAGGACAGGAGCATTAAGTTCTTTAATGGCGAGGGCAGTGGAACCTGGAGGACAGATTGCCTAGGGAGACAGCAAGACACCTGTCATTTTTTAAAGAGAACAGTTTAGACAACTTTCTCTCAGGACTGCTATTGGCACAGCTGGTCCTGCTTTGAGATCAGGGAACAAGCTGCATGGCGTCTTGAAGTCCCTTACAGCAGCTGCCTGGAAGAGGGTTCAGGCTGCTCATTGAAAGGCTCCACGTGACTCTCAACAGCAGTAATGGTCGTAAACCATCACTGTGGAGCCTCTCAGCAGCATTTGGACCCCTGCATGTTCCTTCCATCTTAGACTGACTCTGAAGTGGTTCTTTGTCCTTCCATCTTCCCTCAGGGAACAAATAGGATCCATAATCTGAGTGAAGTCTCCAGTGGTGACCGTGCTGCTGAATTTTAGTTCATAGGCCACTTGAGAGAGTCCTGTGAGCGAGTTATGGCTACCAAGAGGCAGAAGACAGATTGTCAGTGACCACCATTTGTCCTTTTTGTAAGCAAGGTTTAAAGCTGCTCAATATTATAAGCAAAAAAAAAAAAAAAAAAAAAGAAATGCCTATTTCACCCTAGCTCTGCCTGTGTTTGGGCTGTCAGGAAGACTGTGCCCACAGATTTTCGAGGAAAAAGAGCCCACTGGTGTGGTCCATCAGGGAGCTTTGGTTCAATCCCCTAATGTAGCTGACTGGGGAAGTTGGGGCCCGCTGCTGCTCACCCAGTGGCATTTTAAGGACTGGGTAAGGGTGGGTGCAGTGCTCTTTCATTAAGAAAATCAGCATTCTGCACCAATCTGGTAACTTACATTCTTGTTTCAGCAGGATGGTCTGTGCCTTTTTAGAAATATGGCAGGTTCCCTTCTATCTCATTAAGGGCCATTATCATATTTTCTAATAATTTGAAAAAAGAATGATTCCAGTATTGCTGCATAATGGCAGTATTTTTTTGTATCAATGCCACTTAATCTCTGGAGATTTTTCATAGACAATGTGATGTCTGTTCAGAACATCTTTCAACAACAAAGTTTACTTTTAAAAGCTCCTTTAACACTTTACAATAGGAATTCATGTTTTTATGCCAACAGTTGAGATGTTAGCATGAACTGAAAAATAGGTGCTGGCAACTTATTGGGATTTTGGCTCAGGGTGGACTGTTCAGGTGGAGTAAATGTGAAGTGGGTTATGTAGTCACATGCTTTAAAATGCAGGTGGGTAATGAGTATTTTGATGGGCTTCTTTGTAAAGAAGTCATAAATTTCTAATGTCCAGAAAGATAATAGAGAAGCTGCTGTTATACTCCACCTTTGGAGGAAAAGAGTTTGCAAAGCAGCAGGAGGTAGATTTCAGTCCTTGTTAAACTGACACATGGCCTGGAACATGAACTGCATGACACCTACCTTGCCAGCTTTTACGTGGCATCCAGCGTGAATACAATTCTGATAACAAAATAACAGAGCAACAATGAAGCACTTCAGAGCCAAACAGCCT